CTATAACACCAAAGGAGTGGCATTTATCCCTTCCAAGTTTCTGACAACTTAAATGTTTTAAAGCACTATTACTAGAAATAAGCTATTTTTTCCCAACTCTTTCAGTATACCTTTGAAAAGCAAACCCTTCAGTATCAGTTCTCAGCTGACACATGCTCTTTTCGTTTTTCAAATCTCAGTTCCATGAATGGTGAAAATTCAAATATATAAAAATTTTTCATCAGGCACTACTCCCAAAGAGTCAGCCAAGCCTACTCTTCTGTTGTAAGAAAGAGACTGCATGGGATAAAGGAAAAGTGACTCCTCCCTGTTTTTAGCCAAGATACCTGCTATATTGTGCTTTCCCTGCCAGGGGATGAGATCTTGCTTCCCAAAATCACCTATTCTGTCCAATGCACTATAGTTGGTATTTCCTTATTACTCTTCCAGAGTAGAAAGAATATGATTAATCAAACCTAACAACCATGGGTTTTCACAAGGGTTCCCTAGTAGCTAAGTGAACCTTCATCATTAGTAGAAAGTCAGAGGACAGCTGTAAGGAAGGTATAGGGATGAATCTTTTTCCCTATCTCTTATCCTACCTCTCCCAACACCAGAAATCCCCTTAATCCTCATAGTTATGAGAAGAGTTGAATTTCCTTTCAAACCACTAGAAATGAAAGCCGAGAACAATTCCTCCCATCCAGGCCTCACTGTTACCTCTGCCAACTCAAGGGTATCTGTACTTAGAAAGGAAATAAACAGTTTTCATTATTTCATCACCCTCCTCAAAACCCTTCTCTCTCATCTCTTTGAGACGTTCTCTCAAACAAACAAAAGGAAAAGTACACATAAAGTATGGTAAGAGACAATAGAAAATTATTAGAATGTTATTGTGTTACAGCCAAGAACTGTAGTTTGAAATCTTTAAAGGGCAAAAAAATTAGCTTAATTTGTATTTAAATAAGGGTTCTGTGATCTGATCAATGTTGCAGAAGACATTCTTCAGCATGCTGTGAAGAAAGTTCAATTCAACTCTTCCTCTATATTATTTTTATCATGGGAAAAGAGTTAGGGAAACTTTCAAAATTTCCTACAAATATTTTCAAGGCTGACCCAGCATAAGTATAAACATAATTGAAAAACAGTTAAAGCTTACTTACTTCACTAAAACAGAAGTCTCCATATTTCCAGAACTCCCTATTCTGTCATCTCTCCCACTAACCCTTTTTTTCCCCTGAATCAAGAGAAGAGTTGATTAAAGAGATTTGTTACTGAGTATATTTCGAAGATGAAATATCACTATCTATGAACATATTTTCTACCATGTTCATTTAAGTACATTTTGAAGCACTTTATTCTTCACCGATTTGATATCCTATTTTATTTTCTTTACATTATTCAGATATACAATTTTGAAAAGCCAACATAGGAGTATTATTTTCCTTTCTCCTTTAGGTGGTTTTTGAAAATGATAGGGTGTTTATTCTTCAATAATCACACTTATCTATGGAAAATATAAAATTTTGACAACTTGCATCTGGAAGTTTTCAACATTTAGCTGCAGTCTAGTTGGAAGTAAATATTGAGTGAATATAAAAGTTTAATTTACTACTGAAGCCAGCCAATAGGCACACCATGACCATCTCCAGCAAAAATAAATACTATAAATAACATTTGAACAGGTTCTGGTGCCAGGGACTTTGTTTGACCTTCACACCCATGCTATGTAGTAGTTGCCTTATTTTAATGCTGAGAACACTAAGGCTTTAAAGAGGCTAACTAATTTATCCATATCAATAGCCAACCAGAGGCAGAGCCAGAATTCAAACCCAGGTTTGACTACAAAGTCAGAAAGGGTGAGTTGAAACTTCATCTCCTGTACAGAGAATATAAAATATCTGGAAGGATGTTAATAAAAATAATAACTTTTGTTAAAAAATAAAAATAAATTTAAAAAATAACTTCTGTTATCTCTAGGTAGTGAGTCTCAGGTGATTTTTTTTAGTATCCTTTTAGTCCTTTTGTGTACTACTTGAGTTTCTTACAATGAATAAGAATGTCTTTTTTCTGAAGAAAAAAAAATTGAGCTCTAGGAAAAAACCACTGAAACAAAACATACAAAAAAAAAATTACTTTGTACTTGAGTTTTGAGGCCCTCAAAATAGTGTTCCCATGTTCAAGTGAGAGAAGAAGATACTGAAAGTAGGAGGAAAAACAGGATGGAATAGAGAGAACTGTTTCTGAACAGACTCATACAAAAGCTACATGGTAGGTCCCCTAACCTACCATCTTTCTCTTTAAAGACCAATCCACTTAAATGTTTACATCTTTTTTTTTTTTCCTTTTTGTCTTTTTTCGTGACCGGCAACAGATCACAACCCTCAGTGTCGCGCCCGTACCGGACCAGACCGGGACCGGCAACGGGATCGCAACCCTCAGTGTTGCTCCCATACCGCGCTCAGCCAGTGAGCGGCCGGTCCGTATGTGGGATCCGAACCCTCGGCAGGAGCGCCACCGCGCTCCCAAACGGTGCACTGTAGCAGTGCGTCACCGGGCCGGCCCAAATGTTTACATCTTTTGATGCAGAGACCCTCACTATGATTCTGCCTTAAGGAAAAGCTATGTGCAAGAACCTGTCCATGGCAGCACTACCTATAATGGAGGAAAAACCAGAAAAAACCTAAGAGTCCAAAGTTAAAGCCTACCAATAAGATATACAGATAGAAATATGGATAACGTGTATTATATGTGAAATAGAAAAATAAAGTACACACTATTACAATGTTTCTTTTATTTTTTAGTTATCTTTTCGTTCTTATAATTTTCTCCACTTTTTTTTCTTTTGGTGGTTGTCTGGTACAGGGATCTGAACCCTTAACCTTGGTGTTATCAACACCACACCCTTACCAACTGAGATAACTGGCCAGCTTTCTCCACTTTTTAAAGTCAAAAATTTCTTAAAATCTTTTCCTTAAAATTCAAATGTTATAATTATTTTAGTAGAAGTAATAAGGATCAAACACATGATGCCATAAACCAGACCTAAAAGTTTCCCAGCTGGAAAAAGGAAGCAGGAAGCTCAGACACCCTAACCAGAGGACCACAATGTCATTGATCCCAGGGAAGCAGTCCATTCATAGGAAGTCACTATGGGCAGTATGATGAACCGGGGAGTTACAGACATGTTGAAGCTGTGAAAAAGTACACACTAAGTGTCTTCCAACTCATTAGGATATACTATCAGTACAGCACAGTGGGCTTTTAAGGATGAAATCTCATACCTGCAAGAATAAAGGAGAAATCCATGCAGAGGTGGTTGGATATGCAATAAAAAAGGCCACCACAAATGGAATAAGATATTTATATTACTCCATAGTAAGGTACCTTCCTTATACTTTACCCATGCTACTCTCACAATATCTCCTGCTTAACCAATATTCACAAAATCCTGGAAAACTGCTTTATACACTATAATCTAAGATCCTTTCATGATCTTTTATTGCAAGAAGAAAAGAATACAGACCAATATAAAACAGGTATGCATAAAGAAGAGCTGAATATTTCAGAATAATTAGGAGAGCCTTATAGTTATTCCAGGTAGGAAGGAAGACAAATGAAGTCTTAGGAGATAATTAAAAACACAAAACAGTCTGTGAATATTGCTGGTGTATTTTTAAACACCATTCTCACTTCTAAGTGAAGTATGCTTTAAATTACCATGTACCTAATCTTTTAACTGAAGAAAAATGTGGTAACAGTGACTAAATACAACAATGAATAAATAAGAGATTTTTTCTTCTACTTCTAAAGGCCTTAAAAATCTAGCTTTTAGGGCCAAGCCCGTGGCGCACTCGGGAGAGTGCAGCGCTGGGAGCGCAGCGGCGCTCCTGCTGCAGGTTCGGATCCTATATAGGGATGGCCGGTGCGCTCACTGGCTGAGCACAGTGCAGCCGGTCTCAAAAAGGACAAAAAAAAAAAAAAAATCTAGCTTTTCTCAAAATCCTTTATTTTCCTCATAGCCCATTAACTCCTTTTTTCACTGGAAAATGAAGAAAGCAGCAGAAAATCATGAATGTGACAAGAAAATGAAGAAAGGGATTTCTGGTAAGGCTGGAGGAAATGAGTATCAGTGTTCATAGTCTGACGCACCCTATATAAGAGCCTAGAGAGACCAAACCACCAGGGATCGAATTCCTCACAATTCTGAAAGACATAAAAGTCCATATCAGATGAGGATCCCTGTGGCTAATTCTTCACACTTTTCAAGTATTTCAGTACTAACCAAAATGTGATGGATATTTGCACAGATAATTTGCATTACAGTATTTTAAAATATCATAGGGTTCCTAAAAGTCCTACAACCCTTAAAAGAACTATCTGTAATTAAGAATGTAACATCAATGTCTATCTTGAATTTATGTGGGCTCTAAAAATAGGAAGTACTAATAGACATTTTTCAGTGCAAAGGGTCACTGGCTACTCTTAAGTCTGTGTAGTAATACTTCCTATATTAGGAAAGTGATTATACGTTAATAAAATGGAATCCTTTCATATTTAATTTTCTGAAGTAGTATTTGGAAATTGGTTTACTAAATCTCATGCTTCCTTACAGTATACTTGGACTTAAATGAATTATCCAGGTTCAGCTGAGGATTCCAAATGCACAAAGCCCAGAAAACTTGGCTTCCGGTCTCATACCTGGACCTAAATGAATTATTCAGGTTCAGCTGAGTATTCCAAATGCATAAAGCCTAGAAAACTTGGCTTCTGGTTTGATGCTATAACCATGACCTCATCTACCCAACACATGCTTCTGTCAGACATTACTGATTAAAGCAATCAACCTTGATTATTGTAGGTAGCTGAACCCAGATTAAAAAAAAAAAAATCAACTTTAAATACATTCCACAATGCTTTACAGAAGCAAAACAAAAATAAATTAAAAAAATCACAATAATTAAAAAGCTGATTTTTGCTTAAAACAGCAAGCAAGGAATGGACACATGAATATTCCTAACCTGCAAAATGATTCCTCCACATTATATCAGCGAAACTCATTGGTGGGCCACTGGGAGGGTAGTGTTTACCTTTCAGAGGCTCATGATCAGTCCTTATCATATCCATTAAGGAGTTCTCCAACGAGTGCAAGTTAAAAGTGTCATAGGGCCTACTCCGGTCCTAAAAATAAAAACACAGAACAAGACGATATATAAAATTACTTCATAAAATTAACACCATATCATTTGCTTCCTGCTGTGGATTGACGACATGAATGCAAGTTATAGATTGTTCTAATAACACAGTCATTCTTTCTGTTAAGAATAATGACTTGGCAACATTAAGTTTAATATATTTCCATAATTCATTAAACTGCATCCTTTTCCTTAATATTCTATAATATACATGCCCCACTGCTTCAAACTGACTTTCTCTCAAATGAGCTAAAAAGTCAATTCAAAAGGAAGAGTCAAGTAAACTGGCTTTGGCTTCTGACCTCCACCATCAAATGAAAAGAGATTCTCCCCCCAGAGAAAGGCAACAATTAAGAATTCAGTCTACAAACAGAATCACTTTCCCGAAAAATCAAAAGGGGATTGTAATTTCAATGTAATTTTATTAGATATCTTTAATATTTATGACTAATAAGTTCCATATATTTGATATACTTTTTAGGTGTCCAAAGTACTAAAATTACCTATTGGAAAGCACTCACATGAAAAACTTTAACCCAAAGTAGTGTTTTCATGACATTGGATTCAAAAAAATTTAGAATATAGAGAGCAAATGCAAACTAAGTGAAGAAAAAAATAATTGTTCCACCATATTTCACCCAAGCCTGTAGCAGACTATCACCTACAAACTCTTCTTAGTAGTCTGAGCCTAAAGGGAAGTGCAGCTCATGGCCTAAATTAATAATATAGAACAGATCTAGTTTGCTTTGTTTAATCAAAGCAAGACAAACATACTTGTATATCCCAACAGCCAAACCAAATTAAATACAGTGATAAGAGATTATTTTCAGGGTCTTGAATATATCTATCCAGCCTTGCACTTGATCACCTACCATCTCCTATGAATCAGTTGCCTGTCTCTACCCTTGGCTAGGAAAGAGACATGGAATATTTTCTCTGGTTCTCCATTTTCATCTCTATATAATCCAAGAAGGTCTCTTCTTTTATCTTTAAGGTCCTCCTGCAGATCACTGTTTTGCTTTGGGCTCAAATTATCAGTGGAAACTCTAATTACTTACGGAGTAAACCTGAATTTCCAGAAATGCAGGCTTATCTGTCCCCATATAGATTTTTTCCTGGGACTCTTTCCTAGAAAGACTGCTGTTAAATGCCAACGATTAAGAATATTTAAGACTTGATTCCCAAATCTGGATATACTCAGAATCGTCTGGGGAGCTTTTATAGCTCCAGATGTCTGGATTCCATCCCTAGATATTCTGAGTCAAAACATTTGTGGGGGAAGCCCAGGGAACCTGTATGTTTTAAAAAATAAGAGCCCAAACTTGATCTTTGGAAATCCTCCTTGGATACTGCTGACAACAGCCAAGTTAAGCTGTTTTAAAATATTCTTCACTTTGAGGCCGGCCCGTGGCTCACTCGGTAGAGTGCGGTGCTGATAACACCAAGGCCACGGGTTCGGATCCTATATAGGGATGGCCGGTTTGTTCACTGGCTGAGCGTGGTGCTGACAACACCAAGCCAAGGGTTGAGATCCCCTACCGGTCATCTTTAAAAAAAAAAAGAAGTGTGCTGATAAAAAGGCAAAATGACAACCTTTTTCTTGCACTGACAACCGCAGACTGAGTATGTAGGAGCCTTGTATCATATCTACATTTCTAATTAGAGCTCTGTAGATGTGTGACTGTTTCAGAACAGGCTGACAAGGTTAAGGGAACTTATAAGAAAAGGCTGTTTGAAGGCATTCAAGAATCTTTCCAGGGACTGGCCAGTTAGCTCACTTGGGAGAATGTGGTGTTGGTAGGACCAAGGTCATGGGTTCAGATCCCCAAACTAGCCAGCCACCAAAAAAACATAACAAACAAACAAACAAAAAAAGAATCTTTCCAGCCAGGACAGTTTATTTTTTCATTGAATTCTTGAAATAATCCTTCAAGGTTTGTAACAACATACCTGTTTTACACATGAGGAAGGTGAGTTTCAAATAAGATTCAAACCCAAATCTGACATCAAAGCCAAAACAAAACCTAAGGAGTATAAAAATCTGTCCAAAGAAGTTGATCCAATCCATACGGGGTTGTAAATGAAAACTTCTATAGAAACATAACATTGCATCTAACTACTGATGAAATGATCTTCCTGAAGAGGTGGTTCCTGTCACAAGAGGATATCAGAGATTAGATGACTACCTGTCAGGAAAATTGCAGAGGGTGTTGAGAAGGGAAATTCATGTACCTAAACTGAGGTGGTTCCCAAACCTGTCTGACTGTCAAAATCACATGTAGAGATGTTTAAAACACAGGTTCCTAGACTCCAGCTCAAACCTGTTTAATCATAACTTGAAAAAAAGAAATAAATGTCCTAGATAATTCTTACAACTGGCTAAGAGCCACTAGATTGGATGATTCTTCAAGTTAAGCCTTTATACTCATGATTCTATTTAGCAAAATTGGGTACTAAATAGAGGGCAGGGACTACAAGGACAGTAGCGGGCAATAAACAAGTCCTGCCACTTTGCAGAGGGTCAGCTTTGCAATCTTCTGATTAATTGTAGGTTAGAAAAGCAGTTAGTTGGTAGCCAAGTTTTTGAAAGAACAAACTGAAATCAAAATCTGATTTCAAATTCTGGCTCTCCCACTTACTGGCATATCACTTTGAACATGCTTCTAAGCCTTGGTTATCTTTATTTATAAAACAGGGATGATAATTCTCTATGGTTGTTTTCAGTACCAAACAATAGAATGCACAACAAAGCATCTGTACCATGGTGGCTACTGTAATATCAGGAAGAACACAAAAAGACTTCTGTGCTGCCACCTCAGAGTACTAAAACATAGATTTAAAAGTCTAGCAGTTCACAGATGCTAACCTAAGAGGGTTCACTAATGCTCAACAGATGAAAATATATGACATATGAAAGGCATGACAGAATTTGCACAGACTTCTTAACTGAACAAACTTCAGTCCTCTGACTTTTCTCATTAAAATTAATTCTATCCATGCCTCATCAATTTATATTTGCTGCACACCATTCATCCTTTATGTTTTTATAAGTAGTAAACTTTGCTGAAATAAATGATTAACCAGGAAGCCTGCAAGAAACAGAACAGGAAGTATAGAAAAACTGAAAAACTTGCAATGAAATTCATCAACAGAAATCATGCATAGAGAAAACTAGGCCACAATTTATCATTCAACAACAAAAGTTACAAATGGCAACTAACCTGCTAAGTCTCTTTTTGATAAATTTTGTTTCCCAATATACGGAAAAAGGAAAACTTTTTTTTGCTTGTTTTAACAAGCAAATACACCAGGAAGTATTAGAACATCAATAAATAATGTATCCCATTATTGACTCTTTTCCTTTGAAGATAACCAATGACAGATATTATCAATTAGTTGTACAAAGAACAGCCCACCCCCACTGCATTAGCCCTGCTATTTTTCTTCCCCCAGCTTGACTTAATATTTATAAATTTATCAACTATTAGGGATCGTCCTGTGGCTCACTTGGGAGAGTGTGGTGCTGATAACACAAAGACCATGGGTTCGGATCCCTGTATAGGGATGGCTGGTTAGCTCACTTGGGAGAGTGTGGTGCTGATAACACAAAGACCATAGGTTCGGATCCCTGTATAGGGATGGCTGGTTAGCTCACTTGGGAGAGTGTGGTGCTGACAACCCAAGTCAAGGGTTAAGATCCCCTTACCGGTCATCTTTAAAAAAAAAAAATCAACTATTTAATATGTGCCTGGCATTGTTCTAAGCATGCTATATGCATTACCTCACAACTCTATGAAGCAAGTAAATTTTGTCCCCATTTTATAAATTAAGCAATTAAATCTTGTAGAGATTAAGTAACTGGCTCAAAGTTACAGGGCTAGTAAGTGCCAAAGCCAGGCCTCAAACCCAGTCAAATGGACAGTGCTCTTAAGGACTCTCATTGTACTGCCTCCTTGACTTTCTCTGATTCCCTCCAGCCTTAAATTTGTTTCACAAATATTCCCTTTAACCTAATCCTGACACAATCCAGAGAGGCTTCTTTGACCCATACCTTGCCACATAGGCAATGTGACCCCCCACTTGCCCTTGGTCAATTACCCTTGTTCAACTGACAACTAATTAATCTCAAGAAGCAGTTTGATCTACCCCTCCAGCACAGTGCCAGGTCTGCCTCTATCAGCCTTATCCCATTCACCTGCCCTTTTCTTGGGGGAGAAATCCAGGACCTTTTTCTACCTTTTACCCAGACATTTTCTCTCCTAGAGATACAAAGTAGAAGGCTGCAAGGACCAACAGTATCTGAGAAAAAAAGTAGCTCTGGAACCAAAGGTCAAAATTAACCATGTAACTGCTATGTGCTAGGCACTGGGCTAAATGCTTTTCAGTCATGCCCTCAATCCTTGTCATAACCCTGCCAGATAGGCATTATCTCCATTTCACAGAGGGAAAATACTGAGGCTCACAAAGATCATGTAACTGCTCAAAGTCACAGAGCTGGTAAGAAATCAGGACGTGAACCCAGATCTGTGACTTTCAAGTTCATGCCAGTAATATTCCAATGCTTCTACACTGACCAGTTGCAGTGTGCCCCATGAACAGTGGGGGCTTAGTTGGGAAGAAAGGGACATACACACGACAAAAAATCAAAAGGTGGGTATATGTTTGTTTGAAAGGGCTAAGAAAGGATTAACTGTGGTCATAAAATAATACAGAAAAACAAGAAGAGGAATTCCTGAAGGAAGGTTTTTCTATTTATGACTCCAACATATATATGTTCAGATCTCCATACCAGTCAGCTGCCACACACACACACACACACACACACACACACACACACACACACACACACACACACACTTCAAAGTTAAATGCATCCAACACATAAGGAACACTAACCCATGAAACTAGCCACTTCTGAATTTCTGCCCTACTGCTCTTATTTTCTACTTAGTACTTGTTATTTTAAAATATCTCAGTTCCCTGTCT